AAATAAACGAAACAGTAAGTGTGACCGAATATTTTCCTAATGAAAAGAACACGAAGTGTTCATTGTTCGACTCCGTTGCAGTTTAAATTTTTGGGGCATTTTTGGTTTTTTCCAACATTTCACTCATTTTGGCGGACAAAAAAAATGGCAAAATTGAGAGTGTAAAATCGCACCTTGGTACATGGCATGGGGTTATATCAAGTTCGTCCAGCTAAAGAACAACGTTTATTCTTCAAATAACTCCACTAAAAATTTTGGGGTACTCAAACTACGAAATTTTAGGACCCCAAACAAAAGTGACTCAGAGGTCAAAACGCGCCAATCCTTGTCACGCAATTGGAGTTGAAAAATCAATAATGCGCACGTGGAAAAGACAACAGGCCGCTTTGGGAGCGAAATATCGTTACTAATCTGAATAAAAAGTTAGCGTTGATCAACATTTATCGTTTCTGCTGCTCAGCTTAACTGAGATTTAAAACTTTAGCGGTTATTTTCGAAAAAAAAAAAAGCCAAAATGTAACATCCAGTCGAAGTTTGAAGCGGCCGAGGACGGATACAAACCGTAGAATAAATATGTTTGCCATATGTACGCTTTGATTTGAGCATTATTTGTAAATCTGTACCTACCGTGCATCAGCGCCAAATATTGTTTGTGTATTCGCTGCCGTGAACTGCCCTCCGCTGTCTCGAAATGTTCAGTAAGGATTGCGTGACAGGCAGACCCTCAAGTCCTGGGCCACAATTGCAAGAGCATGGGTCTTTACCACAAACACTGGCACTCTTCCTATATATTCAGTATTATTTCTTTGGGAACGTTGAATTATTCTTGAACGTTTTTACGGGGACTCACGTATGAAAATGCTTGTAATAACTAAAAGCATGTCTTAATCCGCTGTCGTCACCAGGGTCAACAACCTAATTTTCTCATACTTTTGCTACCTAATAAGAGAAATATAACTCAGGAAAAAGAAAAAAAATGAAGCAAAACTACACGTACAAGGCCTTCAATAACCATCGTTAGGTACCTTCTCGAGTTATGTTATTGTTTATGCACTACATAACGTCCGTAGGATCAATAAGAAATCGTGAAAAATATTGAGATGTTACCTGCCGTGGCGAGAAGAAAATCTGCCTCCGTTATCAAAGTTGAATCAAAGCAGTCATAAATCTTCAGGTGATTCTTGATGTTTGTTCTGCATGTTTCTATCGCCTCACATAAAGTATTTGTCAGGTTAGAACCACTGCATCCACAAGGCCTCCAACAAGTTCAGAGTAGCCACAGATTGCCATTACATTTACACAACTGTGCAAAAGCGCACCGTGGTACAGATTATCGACGCATAAGTGCGCTGCTTGTGTGTCACACGTGAAGACGTTCATTTTATCTAGGATGTATATCGAAAGTGTCAAAGTGATTGTATCAGTTATTGCGTGCTAAGCGCTTGATGTTTGGTCAGGATTCCCAGACACTTGTAAACAGGACAATTCTTTGTTTGCACGTGACGTCGGCATAAATTAAAAAAACCGGGGTCAGCCATGTTGGGGGATAACCACGGGTTACAATCCCTGTAATATAGCTGTCTGAAGTGTAAGTTGAAGGTGTTACACATATACTTGTCAATGCCATGCATTCTAAATAACTGTCAATACTTGTAATTAGGCATGCCCATGCAGACTTTTTTAAGACTTGTGCTGTAGTTTGGATTGTAATACCTTTATTTTGTGTGAACGGTAAATTTTTTTTGTTGGATATTACATCGCCCACGTGCTTTGCGGAAGCCGGTATGATCGTTTTACAGTACTGTTTTAGTTTCCCCTCTTATCATGCTACAACTCTGTGTTGTCTTTGGTTGTTTTGAATTTGGTTGTGTTACAGGTATGAACAAGCAAGCAATTGAAAAATGATTATTGTTTAAGCTTTCAAGGCTGTATGTTTCTTTTTTAATAAAAATTTTCCAAACTTGGCACATACGCATATAGTTTAGTTTGAGATTCAGCTAATTACTGATACTTGTGGGATTGATGCTGTGTTTTCTAAATAGTGATAATAACAACACAAGCTGGGGTTTAACCACGTACATATTTTGCGGAAGCCGGTATTGTTTCGTTGGTAAAGACAAAACCAGGTGAGTCTCTGGCTCCTACTGACAAAGCTGCCATAGTGTGCTATACACTCACCAATTTATCAGAGTCCATGCATTGTACCATTTGATCGAGGTGAACTTACAACCAGTTTGATTCCAGGTACTTCATGTACAATTTTTCATATAAAGGCTGTAGTTAAGGCTAGCCACAATCTGTCATTAAAGAACTTCAGTAATTCTCAAGTTGACAAAAACACAGCTTTAAGGTACACCATTGACAAGCAACATTTGTTTAGTTTGTGTCACAGATGCTAGTCGTTAATAGATACCTATACGACAAACAACCATAAAGTTCAGTTAGCATTTTGACAAAGAAAGGAGCACCCTCAAAGTAATATTTTGGTGGTTGTGGTACA